TAACAAAATGTCAATATATTAATTCAAAATCAAAAATTGTATATATATGCAACATATGCAAAATATGGCGTTTTGCATATATTCCTAGCTCTAAGTCAATAACTATACCAAACCATATGCACAATTCCAGGAATTATTGCAAGATAGGCGAACATATTATCTCAGTATCTATAATGGTTGTTACTAGTTGTAAAACATAAAGCACTTCTGTTTTTGCCGTTGTAATAATAAGTTGCCTATAAAATATTAACTTTGTATTTTGGAAAATAAAATATTTTTTTAAAAGACTTTTTCGATTGTTCGATTCATAATTAGGAAGTGTTTTTGGCTATTTTGTGATTCACTCTTTAAAATTGTGCTCGATAAAGTGAAAAATAAACTTTCAAATTAAAAATAGGTTTTTAAAAAATTTAATTATTTTTTCTAAGTCAAAACCTACAAACTATAATCTTATCTACAAGAATAGTAAATAGATAATGATCTCAAAAGTGAACAAACTAGATAAAATGATAAAAGTCCTATCAGCGATTTTTTGGAAACCAGGAAGTCGCATAATGTCAACATCTGCAGGATCGTGAATTCACTGTTACTAGGGCTGATATAATAATTATTAGTGAAATGATGGTACTAGAACAGAAGTAAAAGTTGGAAATGCTTTTGCCAGTTCTCCCACTTTATACACATAAATTGACAGGTTGGCAGCGGATCTCACCGAAGTGGACGCGATACATTGGCGTACAAAATTATTTTATAGATGTTAATAACAATTTCGAGTAAATAGTTTAACAAATTGTGAATAGCTGTTGAAATTTTGTAAAATTATGATTTGAAGAGTATAATACATGTTTAATAATTATTTATAATCCATAAATACATGCGATTGTCCGGTTCCGCCGATAACAATTTAAAATTACTTATTCTATGAAACGACACTGGCAGGTAAACATTACTGCGAAATTCTCGGAGCCGCCCGACGTGGTTTGACGTTTACCCCTTCTCTACCTATCAAAAGACTTTTCAACTTTTACTTTCTTTATACATGTGTTATATCTTTTGGACGAGTATACAAAATATAATAAATTTAAAAATTATACTTTTGTATTAATAGTTATTAGTTTAAATTTTTTTATACTAATCTAGTTGATTTTTAATACGCTTATGTCAAAATAATATGTGTAAACATATATTTTAATAATTTAAATAGTAGTTTGTGCAACTAGACTGAACATGATGGCGAAGTACTCAATCGTATGAGTGCGATATGCACAATCCAATCGAGTTGTACATTATATTTTTTCTATGGTCCACTAACAAAAATCTACAAATATTAAAAATATTTTAGGTGATTAAGATAAAATAATTAATAACAAAAAAAAATATTTCACTTTTTGCCATCCGAGATTTGAACTCGAATCTTCCGTATGAAGGTCAAGAACGTCTGACCACACGACCATCTATGCCCCCTAATTTTTTTGCTTTAATACTCGTAATTAAATTAACTTCTTATAGTTCCATTTAAATTAATAAAACATTTATAATTATGGACGAAATAAAAATAGAAATGCTAGATATTATTTATCGATTCTTTACAAGAAAACCTCATTTTAATGTATATTTAATCTCAATAACTAAAAAATATACTGACAATTAGTTTGACAGAATTGTCACTGATTTAAAATTTTTAAAATAATGGTAGTTGGATGTCCAAAATATGAACTGTGATTGGTATATTTCATTTTTTGCAATACTCTCACTACCTTGAATGGATATGAAATATATTGGTTTAGTTGAATGCAATGATATACATTTTCGTTTTGTAATGTAAAACGTATGCAAATGTATGGTGTGGAATTTTAGATGGTCATATAGATCCTATTATTTTTAATTAAAATTTAAATTGTAAGCGATATTTAAGATTGCTGAAAGAAGAATTGCCTGCTTTATCAGAAAATAATTCACTAGAGGTACGCCGTATTATGTGGATGCAGCAGGATGGCTCCTAACAATTCAACTTGATAGAGATTTGATATTTACTTTAATAAAGATGAAGAACAACCCGAGTACTACCTCTAATTCTTGTATTGCATTTTGCTTTCGTTGAATTAGATCGTCTCTATTTACTCTGTCAATATTTTTTTTTTTTTGTTCTATTTTTAGTTGTGTGTTTTGTTGTATTAATCTGTTTAATTTTTATTTCACAATTAGTATCATTAAACCAATAAATTTAAACTGAAGAGGTACCTATTTAAAAATAAATTTTAATAATTTTTTGTGTTAATCACTATTGTTAAGCTATCAAAGAATTACTCACGTATCAAAGCCAACTAGATTAATACATAAAGAATTTTATTAATTATTATCTAGTTGGACTATTCACCATTATAGATTTTTCTTGTATTCCTTTAGGAAAAAGATAATAAGACCCAGTTTTACTGTTTCTTGTCAGAATTGAATTCACTATCTATGTAATGTATAAAAATATTAACATATCATTTAAAATTTTAAGGAAAACTTCGAAAAAATGGTTACTGTTTAAACAACGCCACCTAGTTCTTATTTAAACAACTGAATTAGAACTATATTGAAATATTTCACTAAACAATCAATTTACTTTTATTTGATACTATTTTTTTTAAATCTGATAAACGACACCGTAGTTATATTAGATTTATTAAATTAAGGTTCTCAATCGCCCCTACCAATTATATTATTAAAGGAAATCCTAAGAAGACAGAAATGATCCTTTTCTTAAGAAAAAGGATAAAAATGGAATTAAGGCCTCCAGAACTCTTAAATACAAAACAAAACTTTGCAACAGAGGTGAAGTACATAGGTCTCATCACTGACTGCAAGTTAACATGGAACTCGTATTTAGAAAACAGAGTTAAAAGAGCATAAATTGCTTAAGAAAAATGCCGCCGAACCGTGGGGTGCACCTGGACTTTCTCCTAAAGAGTCGTCGCATGGACTTACACGGCTATTATAAGAACTATGCTAACATACAGTGCAGTTGTCTGGGTACCGAAAACCCAAAAATTTACTGCTATTCCTAAACAAGAACAAATTCAAAGAACAGCATGTCTCAACATAACAGGAGCCATGAAAACAACACCGACCAGAGCCATGGAAGTCATTATTAGTCTCACTTCCCTTGATATTTACATCAAGAAGGTTGCTCTAACGACAATGATACGCCGCCGCATGGTTGGAATAAAACCTGATGTAGGATCTGGTGAGGCAAGACGTCGCTTTTAGCAGGAGGCGCTCGATAGGCTCCTACTGCTTTAAACAAACATTGACTCCATCTCACCGAGATATATCTTCCATAAGCCATATAAAGTTATAATAGAACAAATATAAGAGCCGAAAGTGGCAGGTACGATTCATATCTACACCGACGGCTCTAAAAAAACAGGCCCAGCATGTGGAATATACTCCAGATTCTTAAACCTAAACATAAAATGGGCTGTAAGCAATAGTGGCAGTGTAGTTTAAACAGAGCTAACGAGGATTATCATAGCAGCAAAATAAACAGAAACAGTATCACTGGAAAGAACATGCTGATCTATACAGATAGCAGACAAGCACTACTCACCCTGAACAGACCATGAATTTACTCAGGGTTAGTACTAGAATATCATAAAGATTTGGCCAAAGTATCCATCAACAATGTGGTCATCTTAAGATGGATCAAAGGTCATGCTACATCGAAAGATAACCGTCTTGCTGATTCACTAGCCAAGAAAGCAACCAACCAAATACTTTTTTGGACGTAGCCCTTCTATTGGCCTGACAAAATCGGTAGTAACAGACCTAATTAAAGAACATTCCCTTGTGAAATTCAAAGAAAGATGGGATGAAACAAAAAAGTGCAGAGTTGCTCAGGAAGCTCTTAAGTTATCCTGACAACACTGCTTGACTATGACAGAATCTGCGCCTAGTCACATGCATTCTGACTGGTCTTTGCAAGTACGGGAGCATCTCCATATCATGAGGCTGTCAGAATCCGCACTCTGCAGAGGGTGCGAACAAGATGATGAGACCATCGAGCATATCCTTAACGATTGGTTGACGCTCTCATTTATAGAAGATTTGTGTTCGGGGAGTATCGGCTAACACTGGCCGATATAAGAGAAGCTCCTCTTGGCGACGTTGTCAACTACATTAAATCTATAGGCTGGCTCACGAGCTAGGAGGTGCCTCTCATCTTAGAAGGATACACAATGGTCCTAGTGAGGCCTTAGTGCCGTAAGGGGGGGGACCCACCCTCCACACGTTACGGATATAGGGTAAAAGGGATTTTTTGCATTACTATAGCGAATTATGCCCTCTTACAGTTAAAATAGAAAGTTGAAAATAATTTCAAGTATTTTCTCTTGACCGACTTTGTTATAATTTTTTTTTTCAAAGGCGTAGGATAAATAGTTTCTAAGATACAGTCGCTAAGAGTCCTTAATCATATGTTTCATGTTTGAGTAGGACTAAAACTGAAAAATCTCGTAAACGGAATGTTCTGTAGAGATCAACCTCATTAGTTTTTTGTGACAAATTGCAATACAAATAATTATTAATCCTAACTTTTATGAAATATAGGGTGTTCAAAAAGTTAGGATTAAAATTGTTTTCTTAACCCACGATTCTACGCCAATGGGTTATCGTAATTTATTAAAATAAAGCGTATTAATTAATAACGATGATTAGATAACAACAACATATTTTTATGTTAAAGTATTTACCGTAAGGGAAGATATTTAGAAATTATGCATTTATGAAATTAACTTTTCACCCTGACGAGTGAAAAATGGGAAAATTATATAAAGATCTACGAGTCTCTTAGTTAACGGTACCTTATTCTGGAACACCCTGTATTTTCTTTAAAGCGGATTATTGATTTAAGGTAAAGATATAAAAAAATAATAAAAACACCAGCCATAATTAAAATATTTACAGAGTATTTATTAAATTGTACAAAGAATACAAAAATATATTTTAAAAATTACCAAGTTCATTATAAGTTTTAACTGCCGCAGTTTTAACTCCAGCAGTTTTAACTCCGGCTGTTTTAACATTGGACTTGGTGCTTCCGCAACATTTTGAAATTCTAGATTTCAGTTCAGTTTCAAGACTCACCAGTTCTACGTGTTGTGTTACGGTCTTTGCAACAATATTTCTTATGTGATGAGAAGTAGAATAATCGAGACTTTCAACTTTTTGAAGAACATTTTCTAATTTTTCTTCTAAATGTTTAATTTTATTATCTTGAGTTTTAATGGTTAAGGTTGCATCGGATATTAAATTTTTTAAGTTCTTAATTTCTTCATCTTGTCGTTGAACAATTATAGAGACATCTTCGTTCATCTGGCTAGCTTCTTCAGGTGAATGTGTTTTTACATGTGAGGAAAGATAATCATTGTTCTTGGATCTTTTATGCCATCCATAAGGAAAGCCATGGTGACCATGTCCGTGTCCATTTCCATATCCATGTCCATGTCCATTTCCATGTCCACTGCCTTTAGTTTGTCCTTTAACATTGTCTTCCTCGGAACTACTTTCTTCAGAACTACTTTCCGTCATCTTTTCATTTTCTTTTTGTTTTTGTATGATTAAAATTGTATCTTCATGTTTCTTTATAATGTCATACAATTCCGTGATGTTTTCTTTTAAATTGTTGATAATTCCGATATTCTTTTGATTTTGATTTTGGCACTCTGCCTTTTGATCAGTAACTAAGTTTTCTAATTCTTTTAAATCAGTTTCTTGAGTAATTAACTCTTTCTTCAATGCATCAAATGAGTCATCGTCTTTCAAGTCTTCACCTACTATCCTAGATATTCTTTCGGAGTTAGAATCTACATCGACTTTGACGTTATTGATTATGTCCTTGAGAGAATCTACTAACTTTTCTAATTGGGATTTGTCTGCGTTTTTTTGACTTTCTACTGTTTTGGAATGTTGTGCTTGAATTTGGGACTGTTCTTCCAATAGCTGATAAAGTGTTGTTATATTATTTTGTACAAGAGAATAGTTATTTTCTAATTCATGCAATACATCACCTTTGATTGTGTCGAATTTCTTTAGGGCTTCAATGATATCTAGGATTTTTATCTTTATTTCTTCTATTGCTACAAAATCAGTTTTGACGTGCTCATTCAAATGAACTGTTATAATTTCAAGAGAATCTAATCTTTCATCTCTTGATTTCAACTTTTCATTTACCCATATCTTCAGTTTTTCAGTTTCAGGAGTAAAATCTTGTTTATTTTGAAATTTAGAATTAATTAAATATTCCAATTCTTTAATCATTGTCTCAAACTTTGATTCCTTTATAAACAGATTGTCAACTTTTATCTTTAATGCCTCTATATCTTTTTCGCTTACATCTTTAAAGTCGCTCAAACTTTTTTTGTTGCTTTCAATTTCTTTATAGATTTCAACAATTTTCTCGTCTACTTCTTTCAATTTAATTACAAGCGGTTCATTTTCTAATGATAGTTCATGAATCTTCCTCAATATCCTTTCTTCTACAATTGTTGTATTTGTATGAGTTTCATATGTTAACATGTCCAAGAATACTTTTGTTTTATCGGTTAAACCTTTAATGGCCGCTTCACATTGATCTTCATTGTAAGATTTTAGTTTTTCAATAATAAACTCCTCAAGTTCATATCTAGTTTGTCTTACTCCGTTACTTCCTCCTTTCACTCCGCCTTTTACACCTGCTTTAGCCTTTGCTTCTCTGGCTTCGTGGTCTAACATAGCTCTCGTAACATTAGCTGCTAATTCTTTAATTTGTTGATTAAAGTTAATTTCTATTTCTTCCAGTTTATCTATTACCTCAGATTTACTAATAAAATCTGGAATATGTCCATTGATAACAGTCTGTATCAGTTCAACTTTGTCAATAAGTTTTTCCAAATCTAAGTTCTTTGAGTTAAGTTGTTGGTTTAGTTTTTTATTTGCTTGAATAAGTTGTATTTGAATTTCATCGAATTCTTTATTTTTTTCAAAAAGCGACGCAATTTGTTTAGAAAGTTTATCCATATCTACCTTACCGTCGTCAGTATCCAGAGATTTTCGAATTTCTGAAATTTCATTATTTACTCTGTTAAAAAGAGTTCTTAAAGCATCAGTCTCTCCATGCAGTTTGCCATTTATTGTTTCAATAGTAGAGAGAGTTTCATTGTTAACAATCTCAAGAATATGTTCTTCGCTTTGTTTAATGACATCTTGGTATTTTTTAAAGAATAAAAAGAAGTTATGAGAATCATATAAATAATCAATATCGATTTTTTTGGTAAAATCATATAAATTGATAGAGCGTAGGTCGCAGTTCTTAAGAATAGCTTCACCGACTATTTGCTTTGATTTTGTAGCGAAATAGTTACCAGTTATTTTTTCTGATTCAAGAGATTTTAAAGAAACTATGTATCCTTCATCAGTATACCAAACTTCATTATCTTGGCATTTATCTTTCTCTGTTAGAGTTAAATAGAAAGCTTCATCACCTTTTGAGTTATAATAAAATAAATATGTAAGTTCTTGTTTCTTAAAAAACCATAGGTCTACTTCTCCTTCAAATACTGTATGTACTTTTGCAGGGCATTTGATTAAAGGTTTTTCGAGGACCTCCCATACTTGACCATCTAAAGGCTGTGCCGAAGTAGGCTCATAACAAAATCCTCGATTGTACTTGCAAATACTTCCCGATTTTAGATACAATTCGTTTTTTTACCAAATCAGCTTTGGTGATGTATTCTTCAACAAGTGTTGTTTGTTCATGTTCTTGTGGAGTTTTGGAAATGCCTTTTTTAGTAGCATTTAGGCATTGATTTGTAATATCGGAATAAGCGTTATTTGCGTTTTGGATAAGGCATCTGTTTAATTGTACTGGCACCTTGCCTATGCTGCTGTAGATGTAAACATGAACACGTTCAACATCAGGTCGTCTACATAGATTGGCTTCAACGACGTAATAGTAGCAGCCGATGAAGAAGAAAAATATGGTTATTTGCTTCATTCTGGAACAATAAACAAGTTATTATTTAATGAATACATTCACTTATACAAAATATTACTACGAAATAGGTACTCATGAAATAAAATTGGTAAATAACAAATTATCCACAAAAAATGATTTAAAAATAGGAAAGTGGATATGAAGAAAGAAAATCTACTGGAAGATGCACACGCTAATTAAATAGACAGGTCAACAAGAAAATAATTCTACAGATATTGAAAATAAATCAGTCTTAGCTGCATCGTCATCATCATTATCAAGCAACATGCGATCGTTTTGATATGTAATACAAAGTGCTATTACTTTAGAAGGAGATGAAAATAATGGTATACAGTAGGAAGTTCATTAAAAAAAAGCAGACTGAAAGTAAAACATCTAAATTAGTAGAAGCCAACAGAAAATGGAAGAAATAAAAATGAATTTATGCTACTATACAATTTGTCTAGTGGTCCCGTTGAAGAAGAGTTTAGCAGATGCTCTAATCCTACTAATGTGTATTTACTTCTGCTTGGATATAGTTTAGATGATGTAGTTTTCAGAGCAACCTATATGCCACACAAAGAAATAAAATATGTAATATGGCAAAAAACGAACTGCTTATGTTCATTAGGATCAATTTTTTGATGACATATCATCGTTTACCTACTGAAAGCAGTATTGGAATGGTAATTCTAATTTAGGATTAACTCTAGTTTCTAATTACATGTCAAGAAAACGTTTCCAAGAAATTCTGCGATTTCTACATTGCAATGATAATCTTATTCCTCACGATAATAAGAATAAGATATATAATTTAGGCCAATGGTTACCACTATAAATCAACATTTCCGTAATTATTATAAAACAACTTGACAAACTAGTATTTACGACGTATGATCTTATTTAATGGTCGTAGTTTGTTAAAATAGTACAACGAGAAACAAATCCCATTAAACGAAGATATAAACACTGGTGCCAAGTCGACCAGAATGCGTATATATCTGATTTTCAAGTGTACCAAGAACAAAATGAACTAATAAAATAGGAGTTCAAAAACTTTGGCTTTGGTGAGCGTGTGGTATTGTCCCTCACTAAGCCGGATTGGAAAAAAGATCATATATGCAGATAATTACTTAATGTCTATAAACCTTTTGGAGGAACTTCGACTAAAGAAAGTTCTAGGATGTGGTACCATTCAGAAAGATAGAACATGATTTCCAAAACAAATGGAAGAAGATAGTAGTAAGAAAGAGGTAACTACAACTATCGTGTTTCAAACACGGATATGAAGGGTTTTCAAAGAAACCACAGTAAAGAGAACCCAGAAAAACGGATCACGACTCGATATTAAATGTCCTTTTATAGTAGCAGATTACGATAAATATATGGGAGGAGTCGATAGAGCTGATCAATTAAGGGGCACATAAGGCATGAATCGTAGATCTAGAAAGTGGTGGGTTCCACCACTTTTATTTTGAGGATTTCTGGATATTGCATTCATCAATGCTTGTATGCTCCATAATATACTATTTGAAAAACGATTTACTCTTTAATTCAGAAAATCTGTTTCTCTGGGAATTAAGGTTAATTCTTCTAATAGAAAAAGAATAGGTTTAATTCCCAAAATTTAATTATAGAAATCAAATCAGATGCAAAATGTGCAGCAGCAAATGTATTGAATCTAGACCATACAGTAAGTGTTCAACCTATTGGATTTTTTATGTTCGAATTTAAAAATAGTGTAACGTTTGGGTAATTTATTTATAGCTTATTTATTTAAAACACTATTTTTATGAAACCACTTAAATCGAAAAGAGCTGCGGTCGTAGCTTACAATCTTCTAGACATCTCTTGCATAATAGGTGTCCCTTACATCGTTCAAAGTGACAACGGGAGAGAATTTACAACAAGTGTGATATAGGAACTTGCTGATATGTTTAATGCTAAAATAGTTTAGGGCAAACCACGACATTCGCAAAGCCAGGAAAGTACGGAAAGAGCTAATCAGGATGTAAGAGAAATTTTGGATTCTTGGATGGCAGATGAATGAAATTCGAATTGGTCTAATGGATTGCGGTTTGTTCAATTGAAAAAAAAAAATATCGATATTTTCATAGAGGTATAAACAGAAGTCTATATGAGGCAATGTTTGGGGTTGCTCTACGAAATGGTATAGGATTTAGACATGCCTCATGAGACTCTTTAAACAGTAACCAGAGAAGAGCAGTTAGAAAATATATTTATTGATATGCCTCTAGCGACTCCAGTTCGAATCTAGAAAATGAAGATTACTTCACATGAGAACCCAAGCAATATACAACGAATTAACTAATATTTAAGCTACTTTTAATTTTATGTAAATTTAGAAAATTTGGAATTTCAAATTTTGAATTGAGTTTTAAACTAATGAAAAATGTATAGTTGGGTGATAATTTAGAATATGATATCGTTTTTAAGATTTTTGGGATCCATAATCCATTTTTACTAATATTTTTTAACATGACATTTTTTTACAACGCTATATTATTTATTGAAGTCCGGCCTTGTTTTGTGTTTTTTTTTACAGTATACCTGTACATTCGAAAATCGATGGGATATTTATGTCTGCCAAGAAATAATCACACAAGCACGTAAAGGATTGTGCACATTCTAGAAAAGACAAGCCAGTGAATTGCTGTAGAGACCCAACAAAAAATTTCCTTCAGTTACCGTTGGACAAAACGTTTTGATAAAAATTCCAGATGCAGACAGAGGGCGAGCTGCACCAAGAAACGTAATGGCTGTTTTTATGGAACAGAAAGAATAAATCGATTTCTATCAGTTGGAAACATCATCAGGAAGCCTTGAAAAATTGTATGTAAGAAATGAATTTCAAGTAGCAGACAGACTAAAAGAGCTCACGTTAAGAACCACGGCCGCTGTAGACTCTCAGTCAAAGCAAGGGTTTTTGAAATGCGGGTGTAGAAATAACTGCGAAAACAAAGAGATGCAATTGTTTTAAAAAAGACATAAAATGCAGCTCTAAATGTCATTCATCGTCAAGTTGCAGAAAGAAATATTCAATTATTTTATTAGGTTAAGCTTATGCTGTTGAGTTATTTTTTTTACTCTTTTATTAGTAACAGTCGTTCTGTTTTTGAGAGTAATGGAAATTCCTAAAGAAGTCAAATAGTTGCAAGTATCATGGATATTTTAAACTAGCGGATGTTGAGTGTAGATATTTTGTATGGATTGAAGAAGCTAAAGAATCTGTACAAATTGCCACATGTGTATCTTCTTGAGTTATAGACTTAAATGCTTGAAAAATTCCATACAATTCACCAGTGAAGACACTATATAACGATGGAAGCAGAGAAGTTTTAATAGTAGTTGAATTGGTGGTTACTGAGGAGCTAACATTCGTATTATTTTTTGATGCGTATGTAAAGAGGACTTTGTTAAAATAACATTTGTTAATTAAATCCAAATAATTCTGTTTTAGAAGTTCTTTGGGAGTTTTATGTTTAGTATATCTGCATAGCGACAAGTTGATTTGAAGTAATGATTTTTTCCAGGGAGGAGTAAAACAAATTGAAAACAGCATTGTTTTTTTTTAGGTCAATATTAGTTAGTAGTGGTCTAAGAATTTGTGGAATTGACTGAATGGATTTTAGTGACGATGGATTTAGATACATATTTGGGGAAACACGAGAAACATATGCAGGATTATAAGGAGTTGCAGATACTCTGGACGAGTAAGAAAGAAGAAGATTTTGGCGCCTTAGCCATAACGAAAGTTCACAACTTTCTGCAGTACTAGACCTAAATGCTCCAATACTGAGGCGAAGTCCAGTATTATGAATTTAGTTGAGAGATTTTAAAAGAGACTTGGAGGCAGACATGTAGACAATGCTTCCATAATCAATCTTCGAACGAATAAGAGCTCTATATACTGTTAAAAGTACAGTTTCTTCAGCACCCCAGTGATATTGCGACAATATTTTTAAAATATCAAGTCTTTTCAGGCATTTGGCTCTAGTTTGTTTGATATGTTATTTCCAAGTAAGTCGAGTCAAAAGTAAGGCCCAAAATTTTGTGGTGCTTTACTACAGAAAGGGGTACACCATTGTAATTAATGAGGGAATTTTGAATTCGTCTTTTCCTGCTAAATTTAATAATTTTAGACTTTTCTGTTAAAAATGTGAAGCCAGTATTGAGAAACCACTGAACCTACGGCACTTTGCATTAATTTACATATCCGGTTGTTACTCTTACCATGACAGAACATAACAAGGTCGTCCGCATGTAAGACGTATTTAACTGAAGGACGTATATCTAAACAAATGCCATTTATTGCGAGTATGAAGAACGTACGACTTAAAAACTGAACCTTGTGGAACTCCATTCCACTGCGAAAAGGTCTGTGATAATATACCATTAGCTGCCACTTTAAAACTTCTATTACTTAAAAAAGAAAGGAGTAAATGTTGCGGTGTATATTATATTCTCTGAGTTTTCTAAGGACAATGGTAGTTAATACAGTATCAAAAGCACCTTTAATATCAAAAATGGCAGCAATAAGCTCTTGCTTGTTAGACAGGGCATTTGCAATGGCAGTTTGAAGTATAACTAAATTATCTGTGGAAGAGCGAAGTTGTCTTAAACCTGACTGTGCTTGCGAAATTATGTAATTTTTCTTAAGGTACCAGAGCAATCTTTTATTTATCATTTCCTATCTGTATACAGATAAAGAATCATGATTTTTTCGACCTCCAGTTTTTGACGGATTTTTACGTTTTGGGGTCCCCTGAATCCGCTTTGACTAATTTCGAGAAAAGAAAGAATAAGAACATCCGAATCCAACACATAAAATAGAACTGCGGTCTCAAAACACGTAAGCGATGTGGGCTCGTTCCTATTTATAAATTTTTCTTTGTAAAATTCACCTAAAATATTCACTATGGCTTGACTATCATTACATAAATTATCATTCTGTAGGAAAGCAGATATTATGAATTTCGTTTTTTTACCTTGCATCTGCC